TTAATTCAGCACTGCCCAGAGAACTCACACTGTGACAGTCTTTGCAAAGTCTAAGTAGTAAATACAGGCCTGTAGGACTATGTAGGCTGAGGTCTTTGGAATAATGATTATCATTACATACAGTAATGGAAGACTTCTAAAAGATGCATATGAACTCCTGGGCATTGTTAAGAAATTAAACATTTGGCCATAAAACAAAAATGTTTTTAAGTGTAAATGAAGTTCAGTTCACTATGTACTAAGGTTCTAGAAATCGTGCTAATGTCGATTTCAATTTGTATTCTGTATATAAGAACATATGCATTTCTTTTGTAGCCACGTCATGAATATTTTAATGTCCCTGTGTACTAAATGACTCCTCATCGAGTATGCAGAATTTCACAGAGGAAATAGAGAGCTGATAAACTTATGAAAGAAAATGTCCTCAGCTTGGTGATGCTGGTTATCTTGTTACAGTAGTTTTAGAACGTTTTAGAACCCATGCCTTTACAATTGTAATTTTCTCCTCTTCCTATCCCTAGCCCTTTTCCATTTTATTTTTCCTTCTACATTTGATCTTGGTTTAGCTTATGACTGATCCAACTGAATTAGTTTAATTCCTTCTTGGAAAAAGTAAGACCTCTAAATGTTTTAAGTAATATTTTATCTGAAATTCATACATGTTACCATTAATGAGCCATCTGTGATTAATCTCAGAAATGGAAAACCTTGCGATCCTTAAAATGTTTACCAAAGAAAAAATAGCTGCAAGGCCAGGTCAGCAGGAGTGGTGCCCACTTATGTAGTGTGCTGTGGTCTTCAAACAGCAAAAACTCTGTTGACTGTCACATCCCATCCTGTAGGAGTTTCTGAGTGCTAATCTAGTGCAGAAAAGTGGCTGTGGAAATAATACATAAGGTTACAATCAATCTCTACCAGTATTTCCAGCGTTCTTTGTTTGATGAACTTTGTAATGCCACATAATAATATTCCTAACCAGTCCCTTTAAGAACTGTCAGAATAATAGCTTCCACAATATCTATAGCTCATAGGCAGTAATCCTCCAAAGTAATTAATACTGATTTTTAAAAAAATACATAGTTGATAATCCGATGTTCAGTTTAAATATTTCTTGTTTTGCTAGATACAGTTTTATACATAAATCTTCATTTAAATACTTAATGCATTGATAACTATGGTTTTATTTTGACTATTCAAAGCTTTAACATTGATCATTATTGTTTTTACGTTCAATAAAACATGCAACAAATCTGATTATCAAAGGAAGGCATGTCAGATAACTTAGTATCTACAAAGTCTGAGTTACGAAACTCAAGAGTAGCTTACCACTGAAAGGAGGAGGCCTATGAAAATGTGTTTTGTCCCAATGTGGTGTGATGGCAGGAAGACAGTTAGTGCCATCTTTCCCATTCCCGCTGCCCGGCGCCACCTTCTGAAGTCCCAGTCTGGGGATATCACATGCAAATTGGAGCATTAGAGTTTTGGACCATTGGGAACCATTGGTCTTCCTTTTCCATGTCTCCCCCCCGCCTCCATTCTCCCTGCCAGGCAATACATTTTCATGTGGTCTTAATGCTGCATAAATATTCATCGTCTCATGCCTGTGTGCTTTGGCCACTGTGTGCTGAGCTGTAGCTTGCTGCTGCTTTTGTTATCTGTATGCCACTGTTTGCTTTAAATTCGTAGACTTGGAAAAAGCTGTCTTTGCATGTTGAAAATAAAAGGATTGCATGTATTCTGTCTCATGTGAGTGACTTTTTTCTTCATCCCTTTTGGTAAAAAGATATCATTTTATGTTTTAATTTTTGAGCTACAGTTTTAATGTGGACATGTGAAAATTACATTTTACATTAATTAGGAACATAATTTGTAAGTGACTCCAGTGTGCCATGTGTTCAAGTCTCCAAGGAGTCAAATGTGTAAAAGAGTCTTTGGAAGTAGGCCTTTTATTTTAAATAGTGCATGTTCTGTTATTAACATGATTCTCATCAACAAATGTGGCCTACCAGGGAAGAGTTGGGGGACATGTTTAACTGCACAAACAAGACTGTTACCAGGGATGATTTACCCAATAAGCAAAAGAAGCATGGGCTTACTTGTGGTTACTGATCTGTCATGAACAGTTAGTTTCACATGTTTCACAATGTGGTGATTTGTTGTTGTCATTAAGTGCCATCGAGTCATTTCCGACACATAGCAACCCTGTCCAGCGAGTGATGTTGGAGTGAAATTGGTCACTACAGATTAGTAAGTAAGTCAGTGCTTAACCTGGCTTGCTGGGTACCCTCTCCTAGTCTGGGATTGTAAATGTGAAGAGGCTTTGATTCTGTAGGAAGGTACTAGTGGGTTGGGAGAAAGATAGATGCCAACCAGACCTAAAAGCAGAATACTTGATGTGGTGAAAAAATGCAAAATTATTCACTACATGTTAATAAGCACTGTATAGAATTCAATGTGTAGGTATCCTTTAATGGATACCTTAAAGGTTGTGTGAAGTTTAAAAAAAATAGATTCAGTATTAAATGGATTATTTCCTTTGATATTTATGTGACTCAGATGTCATTCTCTCAGAGTATTTAATGCCTTGAAGGCTAATTGTTAGAAATGAAAGAGGCAGGCTTAAGTCACTGGAGCCTGATATCTTCAAGTCCATTAGGTGTTCTCTAAACAGGTTCTCATGGGAATTTCGGGGCATGAACATCAGGACCTCTCCCTCAGCTTCAGCACCCATCCATGGAAGCCTCCCCATTTTAGAGCTAGTAACAGACAAGGAGCATGCTGAGCAGACAGAGGGAACAGGAATTCCTAATAGCTTGTCTCTGGTGCATTTTCTCCTCCCTGTCTTTTATAATTGCTTCCAAGCAGGTTCTCCAAGCAAGGCTCCCGCTGCACCTGGCCCAGGCGTCTCTAAAGTCTCTCAATGTGGAACACTTCTTACCTTCTCCTCCCCTTGCCATTTATTAAAAACTGTCATTTATGTGCTGAGGTTTCTTACATTGTGTATCTGTCTGCTTATAGTCTTGTGACAGTGTTTAACTTTTTTTAATACCCTGTGTATGGTTCTGAGCCTGGCTTGATTCAGGTTCAATTGTTGTGGCACAAAAATGTCATAGACTCGACGACCTTTGAAAAAGTATGACATAGCTCTTTTTCCACTAATGCTGTTTTGCACCCATTTTCAACACACAAACATACTACAACGTCATGGGCTAACTTTAGTTTCCAATTCCGTAATTACAACACATGAAAGGTGGTAAGTATTGTCAGCCTTGCATTTCCAAATACGGACCCAGACCGTTGCATTGGGTAGTTACAAGAGGGCCTGGAAAAGTTCGAGGAAGAAATGGAATGCAGTTTTGCCACGAGCTTGTGTAGTGTCTTAAATACAATGAAAGCTAACATTTTAAGGATTTATGGTTTAATAAAATTTTTCTTTTCCTCCTTTGTGCTGCACTATGATTAGGATGCAAAAGTAAGTTTGTTTATAATTGGATACTAGAAAATGATAAGATTTTTCTCTATTAGTTAGCATGCCTTTTAACAACAAAATTGTTGACTGTAACATCTCAACCATGACTGACTTTGTGACATTGAAAGCCAGCCCGATAAATGTACTTGCCTTGTAATGTCATCCTTTGAGACTCAAAACCAAGTGCTGTGAGTTTGTCCTGCAGCATTCTTTTTATGCTTGGCCCAACAGTGATGGAAAGGTGACCATTTCTGAAAGCGTGCTGCGGTAGACAGTTCATTTAACTCAGACTGGGCTGTTACAGGCATATCTGTAAATGCCCATGGGGGCAACACTATGTGAAAATTGTTTTCTCCCTAGCTTTCCACGGAGATCTGGTGAGACACTGTAGGGTAAACACTGTACGGCTAACCACAAGGTCAGCAATTTATACCCACCAGTGACTCTCAGAAACCCTATACAGCGTCACGGTTAGTAGGAACCAACTCAATGGCACACATCAACAAAGCTTTCTATTTGGGGATAGCAGTGGTAGTAGTTGTGTGCCATCGAATCGATTCCGACTCAGCAACCCTGTCTAGGGTTTCTGAGGTTGTAAAAGTTTTACTGGAGCAGAAAGCCTAAGCTTTCGCCCATGGAGCCGCTGGTAGATTCTAACTACTGACCTTGCGGTTAGCAGCCCAGCTTGTAATCCAGTACCAGGGCTCCTTTCTATTGGGGGAGAGGGTTTAAATTTTAACTTAGGTTATCTTGTGTACAATTCAGAAACAATAATTTCATAAATGGCCAGTGGTTTTGTACTGGGCGTGATGATTTATTTAGGTACAATAACTGTACTTAACACCTGAGCGGGTATTCAGAAGTATTGAATGAATGCTGAAAGAGCCGTCTGTCGTCTCAGGTGTTGTGGATCCCAAGCCCTTATTAACCAGGCTATGTGGTATTGTAGGAAAAGCGTTGAACCACAAGGTTGGCAGTTCAAACCCACCAGCCACTCCTTGGAAACTTTATACAGGGTCACTGAGTCAGAACTGACTTGACGGCACTTAACATCACTAATATGGTGTCCTGGTGTGGTGCTGTGTAGGACAAGCACTGGACTGCTAACTGCAGGGTTGGCAGTTCAAGTCTACCAGCTGCTTCTCAGAAACCCTATACAGCAGGGATGGGGAATGTCCGGCCTGTGGACCGTGTAAGGCCTGCGAAATCATTTGGTCTGGCCATCCAAGGCAACCGCAGTTCCAGCCATCACATTAGGGGTGAATTGTTTGCACGCTAATATTGAAGTTGATCATTTCGTATGGCCTGAGAATGGTAGTCAATTTTGGCAGAAAAACAGGTTTCCCACCCATGCCATACAGCGCCTAACAGCATCACTCTAATAATGCTGATGTTCCTGTAACACTGAATTCTAATACCACACTTGTTCTTTGCTTTTGGTCTAAAACGGGCACATCCTTTCATGTGCATCTTTCACATCTTCCAGCCTCTCTGGATCTGCTTACCAGAGTCTCACATTTTCCTTCCACAGGAAGCCGAAACCCCACGTAGTGTTCTTGAAGAAATTGGACTGACCTAACTCTCCTCCCTGGGTGACTCCTTGTGGCATTTCCCACACTGTAGATGTGCACTGCCTCTCCCGTCCATGTTAGCTAATGGTGTCAGATGATGTTTTGTCAGTATTACTGTTTTGCTAAGCTGCTTCATTCAGGCCCACACAAAAGTTTTGTTTTTTTTTAAAGGGAACTCTGGTGAAGTGAAACATTAAGGGACTTAATATGGATTACAATGGCACAGAAAAGATAGTTTTATTGGGAATTTTCAAGTTTTGCTGTTTCTCTTAAACCCAGTGTATGAAAATGACCTATCTATATACATGCAAAACCAGTCAGGCAGTCTGCATTTATTACGTTATCATATTTGACAAAGGAAACTGGTCAATTACAATGTGGAATCTGGTTTTCTGAAACCAAAGATTAGTGCAGCATTTTGATATAGTGAGAAAAAAGGGAATAGGCATGTCGTTATGTCAAATTAAACTCTTATTTTGAAATGTTTAAACAAATTTATACCAAAGATCCGTATTGGAAGTTACATACCTTAAAACAGAAACGGAATATAGATCATTTGAAATGACTTAAAATCATGCTGTTTTACACACACACACACACACACACACACACACACACAATGCTTTTGTAGGCATTCTGACCCCCTGGGACAGAACATATGGAGTGCTGCAAAATAGTGATTCCCGCCCCCTTTTTTTAAGGCCAAGGCACACTTGAGTGCTGAGATAAATTCTTTGGGGTGTCAGAATCTTTTCGTCACTTGTTTTGATGCCCCCCCCCCCCAATAACGTGGAAATGTTGATCAGGGATTCTTCATAACAGTATCTTAACAGCAAACGTGTTACTCTCTGGACAAAGTATTGCACAAGCCATTGTTTAATCCTGTGGCTGGATTTGATCAAGCCACATTGATTTTGCTTCTCTGTTGTTTTCCTCCACTTAGAAGCGTTACAGACTTCACAGTATCTACCCCTCCTTCGCACTGCCTAGTTATTCTGCAGAAGGCTCCTAAAAATAGACTCCTTCCATCTAAAAGAGTTGAGTGAGGTCGAATGCTATCAGTGGGCCTGCGCTTTTGAAAGCTCTGATTGTTTCAGTGTCAACTTTTATAGACCCCAAGATGTATTGAAACCTGTGTTCACAGTTTACACTTTCACTTGTATATGCTGGGCTGGACTAAGCTTCTTGTAATTGTGACCAGTCTTAAGACCACATGACCACTGTCCTATCCCATCTGCAGTCAGTTGTAATAAATGTGCAATGCATACCTCTATAGTGTGTTTTCTCCACTTCTTTCCAAAAGTTTGTCAACTTCTGGAGAGCTGCTGAAGAAGAATTAAGGTGATTTTTTTTTTCTCCTGTCAAATGTTGCAGTTCACCTCCATTTTAATGTGGTGGTTGTTATAAGCACACACAAGATAAATGGCAGCAGTTAGGAGCCTTCATTGTACTTCAAGTTTATTAAAAACTAATGTGGATTCCATGCTATCAAGAGCTTATCTACATATTTATTTTCAATCAATAAATGCCGCTTTTAAACCCTAGATGCATGCAGTGTTTGTGTTTTTAACTCTGAACCAACCTCTCAAGTGATTCCAGGTGGGCCACCCTGGTAGCAGGGACAACTTGTTCCCCTCCTCCCTTCCCCCCACCAACCTAGGGAGGGGGGCTAGCATTCCCATTACAGTGGACTTCCACTTCCCACCCTACACCCCAAATGTCAAAACTTAGCTTGTCCTGAGAGGTTAACCTATTACAGATAAATGTGGCAACTAAAAGGGAGTTTCAGCAGAGAAACCCTCACACTCAATTGCTAACCAGAAACAGACCCTGGTGATGTCTCTGGGGGCAATCTTGATTTTTGTACCAGGATTGCCTTAGCACAAGGTATATTCAGCAGGAATGACCGTATCTTGGAGGGTCAGAGAAAGAAAGGGAGACCCCCAGCGAGATGGATTGGCACAGTGGCAGCATCAATGGGCTCAAACATCGCAACAATTGTGAGGTTGGCCCAGGACCGGGCAGTGTTTCATTCTGTTGTGTGTAGAGTAGTTATGAGTCGCTGCAGACTCAATGGCACCTAACAACATCCTAGTGTGGTGCTATAGGGCAAACACTGACTGTTGGCAGTTCAAACGCACCAACTGGTCCTTGGAAGCCTTATACAGGGTGGCTATGAGTCAGAATGACAAGATGGCATTTAACATCCATCCACTGTCTCAAGTCAATTCAGACTCATCAAGTCAACTTGGACTCAACGACTCCGTAAGATAGAGTAGAAGTGGCCTGGCCCATGAGGTTGCCAAGGCTGTAACTAAGGACACAGGCTATGATAATTTTTCACATGGAGCAGCTGGTGGGTTCAAACCGGCTGCCTTTTGGGTTCGCAGCTGAGTACTTCAGCCACTGCTAACATGGCTCCTGTAAACTAGGACTCTTACTACCAAACAATGGGGCAAAACTTGATAAGACAACTGAGGACCTGGCGGGGCGGAAAGGTTACATACCCTCCTTTAGTACTTTAGACTGAGAACATGCATTTAAAACTTTACAGCTGCTGGAGAAAAATCCAAGATATTTTTAAATGAGGGCAAACAAGATTGTTAGAAGAGCCAACGGCCATTGTACTACAGAAAATAACTTCAGCTTAGACAATAAGTAAAATGAACACTTAATGTCAAAGTCTTTAATACCTGATGTTGGAGCATTGAAATTTATTCTTTATGCTAAATTTTTGTATTTTTTGGAGAGTGATTTAGAAATACTTGAATATTTGCATACCTTGATGTAACTTGTCCTAAGGAAATGTGGAAGCATTTAATAGTATCCACAGAATTTTTTACTTTGTTTTTAGCAAAGGCTTCTTTAGGAATGTTGTTATGTGCCATCCAGTCAGCTCTGACCGATAGCAACCCTGTATAGGGTTTCCGAGGAGCAGCTGGTGAGCTTGAACTGCCGACCTAGCAGTTCAAACGGCTTGCAGTCTGGTACGTTAACCCACAGCGCCACACAAAATAATAAATCCAGTAATAGGGATATAGTTAAACTGAAAGATTAAGCTATGCAGTGAGTAAAATTCATATAAGTATAGGGATTGCTTGAAATAGGATGATGTTTCTGGTGAAAAAGAATATTCAACTGCAGCCATATATGAAATGTAAAAAAAAAAAATGCAGACACAGCCATACCGAGGAAAAAGGGCTAAAGCACCACTCCCAGGTCAATTGGCTATCTCTAAAGGCAAGGCTTACAAGTAATTCTTACGTTGTTATTTATACATTTTGTTTTCTAAGATAATTTTTTATTATCAGAGATACAAACTTTTTTAAAAGCTGAATTCCAGTACTCCCAGGCCTGCTTGTTCATCTGCGCTCATGCTCTTATAGCCAACAGGTCTAGCAGCCATAATAAATAAATCCATTCCTTTAAAAACAAGAGCACTTTATTTGGCTTTGGGGCTCTGGGCATTTCGGTCTCTACTTCCTGACCTCCTCCTGCCACGGCTCCTGGACCTGGATCGGCGGCTCCGGCTGCGGCTGCGGCTGCGGCTGCGGCTGCGGCTGCGACTCCGGCGGCTCCTGAGGCTCCGGCTCTGGTCCCGTTTTCTTCCTCTGCTTCGGGAGCTGTGCCTTTCCCGACTTCTGGACACGTGCTTGTGAGCTTTCTTCCCCTGGTGACTACTTCTCCTTTTCCTCTCAGATGCCCCGTTTCTTTTGGGAGCACTGAGACTTCTCCGTCGTCTTGACCTGCTGTAGTAATCATCATGGTGGCCCGTTCTCTCTCTCCTGTCTGAGGTCTTTCCAAAAGATGAGCTAGTCCGATCTGGGGACAGGTACATGTCTCTGTCAGCTTCCCAAAATTCATTGCTGGGATTTCTGAACACATGAAGAAAGTTACAGTGTTTGCCTCTTGGGCACTGATGGGTTTCAAATAAACCTGCAACGAAGCAGTCAGGAAACAGCAGTGAAACACGATGAATTCAAAAGATGGTACTTGTTCCATTTGAAAAAGTGCATTTCTGGTGTTTTCAACTGTGTGGTATTTCAAAGGGGCTTCAAATCTGACATTTAATTGACCAGACCATCCCACTGCTCAAGTAACTGTGGTTCTGAGTACAACTGAACAAATGCTGACCCCATTAGCCTCCCACTGGTTTACAACTGGGATCTGGGATCCCTAATTAACATGGGAGAACCAGTCCTTGGAGTCCTTGCCAGTCAGTAGAGGGCCTATCATCAGGGGAGGATGCTGTATTTTTTTGTTACACTTAACAAGAAGATTATGAACACTGGCCTAATGCTTCAAATTTGCCTTTATTATGGGAGATTTTTGTCTAAGGTGAAATCTATTTAAACAACTCTGAGATGTCAGGGTTTTCAAACTTTTTAAAAATCTAACACCCCCAGATAAAGGAAATAACAGGGAAATCTTAGATATGACACCCAAAGCACAAATAACTTTTTTTTATATAATTACACTCCATCAAAATGAAAAACTTGTGCTTCAAAGGATACTGCCACAAAAATGATGAGCAACCCACAGAATGGGAGAAGTTACTTGTAAATCACCTAGCTGTGAGAAGAAACTTGTATCTAGAATATATAAAGAACTCTTCCAACTCAATGTAAGACAAAGGATAGCATAAAAAATGGACAAAGGCTCTGAACAGACATTTGTCCAAAGAAGATTGCAAATACCAACCAACAGACACATGAAAAGATGCTCTGCATCACTGAACACTAGGGAAATGAGCATCAAATCACAATGAGATGCCACTTCATAGCCACTGGGATGGCGAAAATCAACAGACAAGTACTATGAGGACGTGGAGGAACTGGTTCCTTTATACATTGCTGGGGGGAATGATAAGATGGTTCAGCTGCTTTGGAAAGAAGTGTGGCAGTTTTCCAACAAGTTAAACTGTTCCCATAAGATCCAACACGTCCACTCCCAGACGTCCACCCAAGAGGACTGAAAACGTGTGTATCTTAACACTGAGCATGGGCGTGCACAGCAGCACTATGCATGAGAGCCAAACAGTGGAAACGCGTGGTCACCACTGTGGCCTATGTGGACCCCTGCACGGTGCCAGCAGTGTGTGCGGGACTACTAACCTAAAGGTTGGTGGTTGGAACCCACCCAGAACCATGTGGGAAAGGCGTGGTGATCTGCTTCCAGAAAGCTCTGGTCTATTCAGTAACACATGAAGTTGTCATGAGTTGAAATCGGCTTAACAATTTGTTTTGCTTTTTTGGACATATATCCATATGATGAAATGGAGTCCTGGGGTAGCGCTGTGGGTTAATGCACCAGACTGCAAAGCCGTTTGAACTGCAAGGTCTGTGATTGGAGCTCACCAGCTGCTCCTCGGAAACCCTCTACAGGGTCACTGTGGCTTGGAACCAACTTGACGGCCCTTCACAACAACAATACGATGAAATATTACTTCTCCATAAAGTGATGAAAACACTGATCCATGCTAAGACGTAGACGCTGAGTGAAAGTCACCTATTGTATGATTACATGCATATGAAGTGTCCAGAGCAGTCGAATCTATACAGACAGAAAGGAGATTAGGGCTTGGCAGGGATGGGAGGTGAGAATCTTCTAAAATTAGGCAGTAGTGATGGTTATGCAACTCTGAAAATCATTCAGTTGTATACTTTTACTCTTTCATGACCTGCGGAGCATATACTGAGCCACCTACGTTTTCCGCCTCTGGGATGTAGTGGGAAGCTGTTATCCCACTTTTAGTGCATGCTGCCATCTGATGGGAGCTTGTATAACTGTATCAATCTGAAGAAATGAGCTCATCCCATCAACCCCAGCACCAGAGGCCTCTAGGAACATATGAGGGTAAGTCGAAAAGGATTGTTGCTAGGATTCTACTTCATACATCATGGGTTTATTCCTAAGAAAATGTGTTTAAACATGTATCTGCGCCAGTGGATGGCTACAGACAAGCTCTCTCAGTAAAGTCTGGTTAGGGTGCCTTCAAAAACAAAGGAGCGGGGCATACTTTTTATGCTGAGGGAAAAAAATGATTTTGAGGTCAGAGAAAATACCAATTTCTAACAAAACTCAAGTGAACATCTCCCCAAATGATGGAAGCTTTGCAACAAGTTTACAGGAATGTTGCCCCACACGAAACAACAGGCTTAACTACAGAAACTGGCAGAAGACAACCACAGAAGTGCTAGTAATGTGATAGCTTAGAATCTCACAGGTTTGGCATTTTCAATTTTAAGGGAACACCTTGGCCTCAGCAAGTTTTCAGAGTGATGGGCACCAAAAGCACTGGGCAGAGATCAGTTAACTCAGAGCTGATCTTTCCACCAGTCTTTTAAACAAGATCAAAGCTAGTGAAGGCAATTTATGGAACAAACCCTAACCAGGGATGAGTATTGGCTTTGCCAATATGAGCCATAGAGCAAAACTCAAAACAGTGACTTCTGAGGGGATCTTCTGGGCCAGTGCATTGCAAGGCAGAGAGGTCAGCTCACAAAGTTAATGGTGACTATTTTTTAGGATTCCAAAATCTTGATATCGAGTTACTCAAGGACATAGAAGAATCACAAGGGCTTATTAGGAAGAAGTTTTCAGAAAATGGAAATTGCACTGGTGAGGAAAAAAGCCCGAAGAATTACACCAAAGAATGTTTTTCTTTCACAATTATGCACCTGCTTATTTTAAGGTAGCCAGGGCTGCCCTATGAAAATTTTGTTGGGAAACCTTATCTCACCCACCCAACAGCCCAGGTTTTACCTCTTCAGACTTCCTTTTTTCCCTCAAACTCAAAAAACATTGAGAAGAAGAAGTATGATTGGAGTCCGTCTAGGACGCCCACACTGCCATTTTGATGTGGTGTAAACGGAAGAGTACAGAATTCTTTGGGGGAAGGGTTGGTTAGAGAGATGGAGACACCACCTTCAGAAGCATATAGGCCCAGCTGGAGGCAATGCCAAGAAACAACAGCTTCATAAGTGTAAAACTGATGTCCTCCCATGTAAATTATCAATTCACAAAAAAAATTTAGATGTTTAACAAAAGTTTTTATGATTTTGTAGCAATACTTTTCAACTTATCCTCACATATGGACAACTAACTATATATTACCTCAAAAAAAAAGTTTTCCATTTAATTCAAAATGCTTTCCAGTCATGAAAATGCACGATTTCAACAAAAATTCAAAGCAGAAAAATAATTCATTCTTGAAAGGATTTAAAAAGGTGAATTTTGTGGTTAAGTGAATTATATCTTTAAAAAGCTATTATTATTTTTCTTTTAAAGTCAACCAGCCTCCTGCTTTGTGGGCATCCAAACCACGCTCAGAAGCCTCTCACTGAGATGGCACTGGGTCACCAGGAACGGGTTCTCCTGGTTCAGCGGTCCCTACCACTGTCTGTCTGACTGAATGCACTGCCTGGGGGTCTACACCTACATGCTATCTCTAGTGCATAAATGCACACATGTCACCTAAGGCAAGGAAGTGATCAGTGAGTGTGGGGTGGTACCTATGGCAGAAGAGTCCGTAGGGATAAAGATGAGAAGAAAACCCAATTCAAGTGATGGGAGCCAGTGAACTGACGCTGCGATGGAAAGCGGGACTTGTTATAGCCAAAGGAACCCACAAAGTCCGTGCTGTTCTTTACAGAATACGCCCTGCCTCGTCACTTTTCCCCCAGCCCCTTTAAAAGACTGGGTTTTGTTTTGTTTTGTTTTTCCTGGCAGTGTCACTTTCTTGTAACAGTGAAACAACTGGGAATAAAACCAGCAGAAAATTTTTTACCACAAATTGCCATTTGCCACCGGGTCACCGGGCAGAATTCGCACTGCAGCTGTCGTCCTGCATACCACCGGCCATTAAACAGAGTCAGGGCTGTTTGGCAGTCTTCTTCCCTTGAAACAAAAAATATCAAAGAATGCACTTCACAGGAATGATCTAAAATCCAGCTGAACCCTTTGATCAGTTTAGCTAGGACCATCAAGAGCAAGGATTTTATACCACCTAGGAGTCCTGGTGTGGCGCTGTGGGCTAATGCATCAGACTGCAAAGTCGTTTGAGCTGTAAGGTCAGCGGTTCAAGCTCACCAGCTGCTCCTTGGAAACCCTAGACAGGGTCGCTGTGAATCAGAACTGACTTGACAGCACTTCACACCAGGGAGTCCTAAAAGGTTGGCAGTTCAAACCCACCAGCCAATCCTTGGAAATCCTATACAGGGTCATTATGAGTTGAAAGCGACTTGACAGCGCTTCACAACAAATTTATTCAGAACACTTTTATTAGACCGCAGAGAGGTTTGGCTTCTTAATCCCAAAGACAGGGTCATTAAAACTGCACACATGGTATCATACTGTGATTGCTTGGCCAGGGCACAGAGGAGCGGCAGTAAGCAGGTGAGACATATATGGAGATGAGCAGGGGATCCTGGCTCTCTTGATTTTGGCAATTTATTCTCTAGTATTGGTGCCCCTTTTCACCTCTGTATAATGATTAAACTATTCTGGAAGAGGTTCAAAATCACACACATATTTATGTATTCTTTTCAAATCCCCTCTACACTTCTCAATCTCTTGATGTTTGCATTTTTTAAAAAAGTCAGGCTTATGAAAGCTACATATTCAGTGGAAATTCAAGAAATGAACATAAAACACCATACTACGGGGCTAAAAATCACCAAACTGTAACAAACATTGAGGACATGTTTGCTCAGAATACTCACGATTGATACTGAACATACACATTGCCCCTCAGATGAGGTTCAAAGTTGCAGCTGACCTAAGGAGAAATGAGATGTTCTACTATAAAAAGGAAGGCAAAGAAGCATTCAGTCATCAAATGTAGGTTGCCCAGTCTAGCGCTGCCCAAACTCATGACCAATTAGAGCCCAAAATGAAGCCACTCTCCAGTGTGTTAAAAGCCCCTAGGATCTGTTGATCCAGATCCATTTTTTTCCTATAAATCTGAAAAGTTTTCACACATGAATAAAAATAGAAAATGTAAATCAGTCCAAATACACACCACCCAGATTGAACACGAGTGTTCTTCCATTTCTGTCTGAGGATTTTTAAATCAGTAAAACACTGAAAGACATTTGACACCCTTCCTTCCACTGGTTCTCTTCCTTTCTCCCTCAGTGGTGAGGCGACACACTTCACAATTCAAGCACAAGCAGGCATACAGGCCAAGTCCAAACAAGCACACCCACTGTCACTGAGTCCCTTCCGAGTCACAGGAACCCGAGAGGGGCTTCATGGCTGTCATGTCTGTGAGAGCAGGCTGCCTGCAGAGCAGCCGAGCACTTAAGCACTGTGCCACCACTGTTCCTTTACATTGCATGTATGTGTGCCATAAAAATAATGTATCATGTATGTGCTGGTGGTGATTTGTTGAGGAGTCAGTCTCGACTCACAGTGACCCTGTATAGGGTTTCTGAGGCTGCAAATCTTTATGGGAGCAGAAAGCCTCAACTTTCTCCTGTGGAGCAGCTGGTGGTTTCCAACTGCTGACCTTGAGGTTAGCAGCCCAAGTCATAACCACTATGTTACCAGACATATAAAGGCAGGTAGTGGGGCACTGTAGGATAAGCACCAGACTGCTAACTGCAAGGTTGGCTGTTCAAACCCCACAGCTGCTCCTCAGAAAACCTTATACAGGATAGCCATGGGTCAGAACCTAATCAACAACACTTTACGACAAAAACACATATAAATTTAGGACTATATGTTCTTGTGTGGTGTTTCAGGATAATGTACTAGACCACAAGGTCAGTTTGAACCACAAGGTCAGTGGTTCAAACTCACAGGTCGCTCCTCAGACACCCCTTACAGGGCACCTATGAATCTGAACCAACTTGATGGCACTTAACAACACTATGTTGTTGTGGACTACTAGATTGCTAACCACAATGTCAGCAGTTCAAACCCACCAACTGTTCCTCAGAAACCCTATACAGGGTCGCTAAGAGTCAGAACCAAATCAGTGGCACTTAACAACCTATGCTGTGTGTGCTGTTGAGTTGATTCTGACTCCTGATGATCGTACAGCACAGGGTTCCCAAGGGCTCCATCTCTACAGGAGCTGACCGTCACATAGCTCTCCCACAGAGGGGCTGCTGGGTGTGAATCACCGATCTTTTGTTTAGCAGCCAAATGCTTAGCCTTTGTGCCACCAGAGCTCTGTAAAGTCTATTTGTTATTAAGTGTGGTCGAGTTGGTGCCAACCCATGGCAACCCTGTATAGGATTTCCAAGGAGTAGGTGGTGACTTTGAACTGCCAACCTTGCAGTTCAAAGTGACTTTGCAGTCCAGTGCACTGAGCCATAGCGCCACACAAGGACTCTAAGGTTTATATGGGTATACATGTATTTACATATGTGCATATACACATATGTGTCTATGCACTGACAATGTAAACTGTTAGCTGTATGCTTTCAATTTCCATATAAATTATATTTATACCCCATTAATTTTCCAAAATTTAAGCATGTAAATGTAATGACTCGTTTTGGGTTCTACATATTGTTGTAGTTAAGTGCTTGCTATTGAGTGGGTTCCAACTCACAGTGACCCTGTATAGGGCTTCCATGGAGTGGCTGGGGAGCTTGAACCGTGGTCTTGTGGTTCAAACCGACCTTGCAGTCCAGTGCATTAAACCGCAGTGCCACACCAGGACTTACTTGTTGCTGTTAAGTGCCGTCAAGTCGACGCTGTATAGTACAGGGTTTCCGAGGAGCAGCTGGTGAGATTGAACCACCGACCTTACAGTTCACATGGCATTAACCCACAGCCCCACCCTAGGACTCCAGGACTTACTAGATACATCCAGTTATCAAAATACAGTTAAGGATGGCTATTGCAGGTGCTTCCAGTTTGTCGTTAACAAAAAGTGCTGTGGTAAGCATTCTTGACCCTCTTGATGGTGTGAGGATTTCTCTGGGGGGCAAGTTCTGGGTCTCTAACGTCAATCTCTCACTACCATTGAGTTGACTGCGACTCAGAGACTCTATACGGGATTCCAGAGGCCTTGTGTTTAGCAGTCCAGTGCTTATCCTGCAGCACCACAAAGCCTCCTTAATTGACAAATTGCTCTCTGAAATGCTTGCACTACTTTAGATCTTCTCACCCTCTCGGGGTAGTCATAAAATCTATTGGTTGTTTGCTGATCGATGTGAAAAGAATACCTCAGTTTTATAGGCAGTGCTCCTCTTACTATGACATGGACCCGTTGATAACTGTCCTTTAAAACTGACAACTCTTATTTGTATTTATATAATGGTAAAAGTGCCCTGAGCTGCCTAAAGAACCAACCAATCTGTGCTGGAAGAAGTGCAGCCAGAGTGCTCCTTGGAGGCCAGGATGGCCAAACGTCATCTCTCATACTTCAGACATATTGTCAGGAGGGACCAGTCGCTGGAGAAGAATATCATGTTTGGCAAGGTGGAGGGTCAGAGGAAAAGAGGAAGACCCCCAGCAAGATGGATTGGCAAAGTGGCAGCATGAATGGGATCAAGTGTGACAACAATTGTGAAGTTGGCCCAGGATCAGGCAGTGTTTCGTTCTGTTGTGCATAGGGTCCCTATGAGTTGGCACCGACTCAATGGCACCTAACAACAACCAAAAAAAAAAAAAGTCTGCAAATATTCAGACTAAAGTGATGCTTTTGATTTCAAAATAAATCTCAAATGGAAACAAATTGCTCCTGAGGACTTTGATCGGTGCACTCTAGTAGCAGGAAGCCCGGGGTGGGGGGCTCTTAGTTCCAGCAGTTGTTGCACTACAAGTTTACCGACTAGCCTCCCCCTTACAACTGTCCATGGGATTAGCATGAGCTTGGCCATTAACCTCACAGAATGGACAGAATTTGACACAAGACAAAAACCCCTCCAGGGTGAGTGAGGACCGCTTGTCGCAGTTGCAGGTGACTTCCATTAACCAGGCTGCAGCAGTGAGGCAGCTCCACTAGTGGCCCTTCAGAGCCAAGAGGGAGACCACTGACCACATGTCGCTCCCTTCCCAGATGAGGAAAAGGCATGAAGAGGGCACGTGGCCTGTTGAAGAGCACAGGGGTGGCCCTCCCCAGGGCCTCCTGGGTCAGTGTTGCAGACAGGCTGGCTGGAGGGGCTCCGCAAAGACAGGGAGGCACACACGACAGGAACTGAGGTAAGCAGGGAAGAGAAGCAGACAAAGAATGTTAAAACCCCAGTCTGCAGCGTAGCTGACAGCAGAGGCTGCAGTTTCAGTATCATGACTGCTCCAGCTCTCCACTGTCACCTCCTAGTGAGTGTGACAACAGTCACAGTTCTCATCCTCAACGTGACATCGCAACACAATCATTCAGCTTAGGGTCTGATGAAACCACAAATAGGGGCTCTCTATGTTACGAGCTTCACTGCACAGTGGTTAGGTCAGCAGTTTGGACCCATCAGCTGCTTCCCAGGAGAAAGCTGAGGCAGCCAGCTTCCATGAAGATGACGGCCTTGTATTCTGACGGCCTTGTATTCTGTATGAGTCAGAACTGACTGGCCAACAGGAATGTTAGATTTCAACCTGTGGGTTGTGGGAGCAGCAGGCATCATGTCGAATTTTGTTGTTGTTAAGTGCCACCAAGTCGGTTCAAACTCACAATGACCTTGTATAAGGTTTCTGAGGCTTTTTTTTTTTTAAAGTCTTTGCAGGAACCTTCTCTTTCTCTCACAGAGCAGCTGCTGAGCTCAAACTGCCAACTTCAGGGTTCACAGTAGACTTTATCCTTATCTTAAAGAATAGTGTTTAAATGATGTCGGATTTGCATACTTCTCCTTCACCTACTGTGAACAAGGCAGTTTGTTCAGGGCTGAAAGAGTTCACTGAACAATCACAATGAGACCGAAGAGAGATCAAGAGGCGTGCCCTTTGCAGGTGTAGAAGAATGGTGCTGCTCAGGAAGTGGCTGGTGCTCCCCGATAAGAGGAGTGGGGGTATGCATGCCACCCCGGGCAATGTCTCTGTGGGGGCTCGACAGCCTGGCACTGAGAGCAAGCTGACTCTCGGAGCCCTACAGGTGAGGAGTGTTTCCCACCCCGACCTCCGGATTCTATCACCATCTGACCAGGATGTGCTCAAAGTTCCCCAAGTCTCACGTCAGTCAGCAATGGTGACGTGGAAGGGAGAAGGGAGTAGCACGTGCTGAGTACCCAGGTGCTGGAGAGTGGGTCAAGCCCTCCACCCTGGTAGACAACATGTGTTCTTGCTGTCTGGCCCCTGTGCCCACCTTGAACTGAATGACTTTCCCCACGTTCTGGAACTCTGGAAGCACATCGTCATAGAACTCTAGGAACTGCTGGTAGGTCTCCTCCTCACTGTACTCCAGACTGGCATCCGGGTCATAGTCATCCATTCTGCACTGTTCCATCCCAAACGTGGTGAACATGCTCTTTATAAGCAGGGTGGGACTTGATGTTGGGAAATTATGTTTACGTGAACATCTGCATATGAATGAAAATAACAATATAAACCCTTAAGTTCAAGGAAGTTACAAAATTAAACCTAAAACGTTTGCTGGAAACTTTGAGATGAAGACTCAAGTCATGAACATATTTTGATGTAATGTCACAGGTGAACTATACTCAGACGTCCAATTGCAACACTTTTAAGAAACCAGTGTTAAGACTGACCCATATACCAGCTCTCATTAAAATGTCAAGTTGGAAGCCTCAGACAACTTGAGCCACAGGGAAAAAGATTTGTTGGCCTGGCAGGCTCTGGTGACAAGTACAAAGATGCCATGTGGGAACTTAGTGGGAAGATGAGAGGATAATATAATCTTGCTTCTATACAATAGTCAGTAAACTCTAAGAGGGGACCTAAAGCATTTGCAGTTAATGGAGTATTTTTTTTAAGCTTTCTTTTCTTTGAATTTTATTTCATTGTTGTTTAGTGAATGAAATATTGTTATTCACATATAAGGGGGTTTTCAACACATTCACACAAAAAATGTACTGTTGCTATTGTTAAGAATCGTCGAGTGGATTCCAACAGATAGCCACCCTATATAAGGTTTCTGAGAAGCAGTTAGTGGGCTTAAACCGCCTACCTTGTGGTCCAAACCAACCTTGCAGTCCAGCACATTAACGCACAGCGCCATACCAAGAGAGAAAAAAATACGTAGTTCACTATTCTAATGAATCAAAAATTTCCTGGTGAGGATTCTCATTAAAAAATGGAAAGACATAATATTCAGAAAACAAAATCTACAAACTTTGGAAGGATGTAAGTTGAAGGAAACAGCAAATACTGGGAAACCCAAGAGCCCTGGAATGACTGTTGAATTAGTGCGCACGCTCCATGTCTGTAGTCCATGACTGATCAACTGCATCTGGACGGCCTGGCGCACACCCAGCCTGATGCAGAAGTGTTCAGTAAACATTCATTAATGGGAAATGTTCTGTTTACCAAATGACCTCCTTCATTATTCGATTAGAGGCCTTGTTATACGATCTATCTTTCCAGATGTAGCGACCCCCACAAGAAAGAGCAAGGAGCCACCAGGACAGGCAGTGTTGGCAGTGAATCATTTTATAAGTAGGAAGCATACACAGAATGAAACAAGAAACCAATTTAACAAACTTAAAACTCTGCTCCCGGGATTGCTGTATCTGAATGAACTTGGCCCTAGTCCGCAGGGTATCAAATGTATTCTTATCAGTCTCGGAACACATCCAAACTCCCTATTTAGGAAAAATCCCCACTTGGCCTGGAGATTGGCCACAGGATATAAGTGTATTCAAAAGCCAGGCCTACAGTTTCTAGTGAAAAGTAGCTAAGAGAAGTTTTATTTGAGAAGAATTTTAAACAGCAGTACCAAACCTACATGCTTATCAGAATTACTGGGGAAAAAGTGATTATTTCTCAGGTCCTGCTCCAAACATACTTCAAGGGGTGTGGCCCGGAAGCCCATAATTTCAAAGTAACTCCTCTCTGGTCCTAAGAACCACTGGTTTGGGATATGCTATTTAGCCATTCCTTGAATAATGGAATCAGGTCAGAAGGCCTGAAAACCAGAGTTGGACATGACCTTAGCCCAAGGATTGTCACTCAGTGATGTGAGGACCCTCCCCTCAAAGCTGTGACTCCAAAAAAAAAAGACATCAACTTGTTGAGAGAGAACTTTTGTACTTAGAACTGCATTCTAAGTACAAAAATAAGCAATCAAAGAAATGCTTCGATTATGGAAGTTTCTCTGATGAGTTGACACAAGAGGCAAGAACACCTTCCTAGTACGGTGTCAGATGGGGAGTGGGGTCAGGAGCATGCCACTGAGGCGCTCTGGGAGGGGAGCAGTGCATTTATCTGGAAGGATGGTGCAGGATTCCCTAACTGCTAACCTCTCAGAATTTCCTCTACTAATCACTTGAACGATGAAAATACCCCAGTCTCTCTCGCACTTGTTTTAGAATGTCTTTACCCTGAAATTGCATGTTGGTGTTAAGTGCCGTCATGTTGGTTCTGACTCATCATGATCCTGTATAGAGTTTTCCAAGGAGAGGCTGGTGGGTTTGAACCACCAACCTTGAGGCAGAGGTCCAGTGCTTATCCCATAATGCCACACCAGGACTCATGCTGAATTTGCAATATGCCAATGAAAACTGTTAAGAAATGCTCACACACTAAGTTGCCCATTGTCAATACTCCTGGGGATGGGACTTCACAGAGTGACACAGTTCACCCCCCTTTCCACGAGTACGTAGCTGACAAGCGACTTTCGGAAACGCTTCAGGATACCACCCCTTCTCTAACGAAGCAGAGCCCCCAGCCTCAGAGCTCAAGGAGACATTCCGCAGTCACCACAGAGAGGGAAACACGCAGCTGGAAAGTCTGCCACCCAATTTGGCTCCAACAGCCTCTGCAAACTGCAGCTCAGCAACAGGCAAGTCACTGTGTACTTTTGTCTTTGGTGGAGGGGGTTTTACAGCAGTTGTTACGATTTTGGGACGAAATGAAATATACCTATGGAAAAACATTCAAAGGGTACAAAAAGGAATATGAAGAGTTAACTTGTTTTAGGTTCGTGGCTCTCAGTCGTGGGGCACATGAGAAATACCTGTATAATATTTCAAAACTACGGATGTTCAAGTTTCAGAGAATCAGATGGACTCAATTTGAGGTGGGGTTGGGGCATCATTTTTTACATTTTCTAGGATGACTTTAATGTGCATCCAGGGTCAAAAACCATTGTTCTCAATGAATGTTAAGAAGGTGTGAGGGCTTAGATTAAAAAAGTAAAAGAGAGCGGGCTCCTATTTTCAGAGCAGGAAAGAAAAAAATAACTGCTGGCATGAATAATTTTGTGAATAAAATAAGGATGAGACAACATACTTAAATCCATTCATTAAATCCATATGAATTTGTCTCTTCCTAGCCCTGTTCACGATTAACAGGCCTGTAAGATGGTGATCCGACCTTCTTTTCTGTGGACTGCACAGGCTTAATGAGACTTGTCTCTAGTGGCTCCATTTTCCATTATGAATTATTTATCTCCCTTGAGTTGTTCATTCAGCAATGAGTCTAATTATTAAAATCTCAAGTGCCTGGCATAGTGTAGATGTTCCAATACTCGTATTTGTTAAATGAAAAAAGAGATCAACATTGCGTTTTCCACATAAATGTCTTGTTTCAAAACCACCAATGATGGAGGGAAGGCACAGTGAGCTTAGATAAGTCTCCTAAAGTGGAACTCACTAGTCAGCTTTGGAAGTCAGGGGTCAGTTCCTGAGTCTGAGCATAATGTTGCTGCTGGGTGCCATCCAGTTGATAGTGACTCCTAGTGACTGACTCCATGTGGCACAGCAGAACTGCCCCCAGGGGTTTCTAGACAGGAACACATCACCAGCCAGGTTAGTCTCCTATCGGGCTACTGAGTGTGTTACAACCACCAACCTTTAGGCTAACTGCTGAGTGCTTAGCCATTGTGCCACCAGGTCTGAGCATAGTGACTTAAAATGTTCAAAATCTTTTTCCTCTACTCACTCTGAGCCTGGCCGTCACAGATAGCTCTTGAAGCATACCAGTTTCCTAAAGCCTGTTAGGTAGAAGTGTTTGCCATTACAAACACTAAAAGCAGGCTGCTCTATCTAGTTTGTAGAAACAGCACTAATACATGATTTCCCCATCCGAGGTTTCCACGTGGACTAGTACAAGAGAAGCAGAGAAATCCCACTCAGGAAGAGGTGTGGACAAGGCCAAGAAGGACCAGCTGCAGAACTCCCAGGGCAGGTAGAGTGCGGTGGGCACTGGATGCTGGGCACTGCTCCTGAAATGAGAACTCAGAAAACTTGGTTCTGACTCACTGAATTCTTATACGATAGAATGAAATTAGTTACCTATCTCCAAATCGGCACGCTCCTGTTTTACTGTAGAACGGACAATACGCTCGGTCTTTCTCCATTATTCTCATATCCAAGGGTGGCTCGGGGTTTTGCCACGTGGAACCATTTTCCAACTGTTAAAAATAACCATGACTTTATTTACTGCTGGTGTGAAAACTCATGAAGACAGCAATGTCTAAAAATGTATGCAGATGTTTTTGTCAAGAATAAAAAGGAATTATTTAAGAACACACACATTTAAGCTGTAACATGCAATCATGACTGTACAAACAGCTGTCCAGGCACATTCCCAGCCATTGGTATCCCTACTGCTGTCAGCTTTCCCTTCTGCCCAGCCACTCCAAGAGGACAGGGCTTATCACGCACGCACCGCTGACAGAAATACAGGTCACTCTGAACCCAGTGAAGCAGCAATTTAGGGTTTGTACGCAGTGTGGCGTGCTACTAACAAATACTGTCAGGCCTGCAGACGAATACAGTCCACAGGGGTGGTTGAAGGTTGTGAGTTTTGTGTCCACCAACAAACTTTTGTTCTTGCTGAAGGAATAGATGAGCCACAAAAATAATTATAACCATCCACAAGTCATCTAAACAATCTAGCGCAGAACTCTTACGTGAAGTACTGTTTGTAAAGAAATGTTGCTAAGTGCTGTGGAGTCAGTTCTGACTCATAGCGACCTTGTATAGGGTTTCCAAGTAACGGCTGCTGGGTTTGAGCCACCAATCTTGTGGTTAGTAGTCCCTTGCTGATCCTAATGGGTCTCATATTCTTAATGAAAGGTTTGGGACATACCTCATTTTCAGCTTGATCCAGCATCTTCTGCACAGCTTCCTACAAATGGTGCAAACATAGGACTAATGAAAACGTAAGTCACACCTGGTAGCTCTGGTTAAGAATCGCGTGTGCAACAATGTTAAACCCAAACAAAACCACATACACAAAAGACTTCCAAGTTCTCATTTACTTTCCACAGCTAGGGAGCAGAGCCATTTTCTTGACATAGAAAAGTTAATAGATGACGTTAGCACGTTGGAAGTATACTCCTAGCAATATGTAGCATATCCAAGCATGTATGTATCTCTCATTCAAGTGTTTAAGATGAAGTATTAGTGATTACAACACACCGTGTTAGATGAAGTGAAAACAGAACATGGACAGTAGTAATTAGGGTTTGTGAGAAATTTCCAAGTTTTTGATAAGCCAAAGGAAGTCCTGCATTTCTAGCTAGTTGGCATTTAAATACGTTTGAAATGATTTTCAGCAGACTTCTTTTCCCTAGCCCCTTTAAGCATTACATAAAATTCTCATATATGACAGGAGCCACTTACTTGCTAACTCTCCCTGGTGACATAAGAGTCTTCTTGAACTTAACATGCTCAAAACAGAGCTTTCGTTCTCTCCCACCCTCATGGAAATGCTACTGCCCCATAACAGCTTGCCCAAATTCAAAACTTCTGAGTGTGTCTTCAGCTCTACCAGCTAGAGTCCTGCCGACTCAGTCTACCCCACTACCATCAAATCAATTCTGACTCCTAACGATCCAAGAAGACAGAGAACCGCCTCATCGGGCTCCAAGGCTGTACATCTTGACAGGAGCAGATTGGCGCAGCTTTCTCCTGCTGGTGGGTTCAAATCCGACTTTTCAGGTGGCAGCCGAGTGCTCAAGCACTGCACCACCAGGGCTTCTGTTTTGTGCTTAGTATTATTTTCAAGGGCTCTGCGACTCCAAACCATCATCGCCCATCTGATAGAGCAACTTTCTACCTGTTCACTGGATTTCTCTCCTTGACTCCTTATTCACCGCTCCGACCCTGCACTTTTTATAGAGAAGTCAAAACAATATACTAGAGATATAAATTACATGGCATTATTCTCTTCTGAAACCCTCCATGTCAAATCCAAATTTCTCACCAGGGTCTAGGGTCTTATAAGGTCTGACCCAGCCACCTTCCCAAATGCTCCCCTTAGGTTTTGGGCACCCTGGCCTTCTTCCAGCTCCATGCTCCAGGCCTTTCCCCTGTGCAGGGGCAGCTCACATATCACCTCCTCCTTAGAGAGGTCACCCTTGATTATGCCACCTACAGGAAGCCTTCCTGGTCCCTGCAGCCACAAGCCCCTCCAGTTTATTCCTAATTGCACTGACCATGATTGGGATTACCATGTTGCTTAGGCCTCCTCTGGCTCTCCGGTCTAAAACCTTCTCTTTCTCACTGATTCATCTCCACCTACTAGAAAGGTTTCTCCCACACAGCAGAAACACAATAGGCATAACCATTTATGTCCTCAGAATCTATCAGTGGTATCACCAGGGTTAGTGTCACCACCCAGTGAGGTCATTCATGATGTCACAGCACCTACCTCCCTCGGCCATGGACCACCTCCCATACCAGACCATACAGAGTCCTTGGTGGTGGTGGTGGTTATGTGCCATGGAGTCGATTCCGACTCATAGCTAAAACACCAGAACGTTTGAGAAAAATCAAAGACTCAAAATGTTGGTAGTAACGAAAATAACAGCACAAACTTGAAGTGTGTGCTTGCAGCCCATGCCAATGAAACCACGTGATTCAAAGCCTCACTGTAATTGGGTAATAATGACAGGTCTGTCCAGAGAGCACTAGAAGGTTCAAAAGTAAGTAGCATGGTTTCAGCCTTGTGGGTACTGATACATGTAAGCTGGGCTTACAAAAATCTGTTAGTTATAGTTATAACTAACTGCAGGGATATTTCTGTAAAAAATAATCAATTTCTGAAGAAACACTGTTCCAAATTTTTTAGGTGTCTGACAATGTCTCACAGTACGGTCTGCATTCCCTCACTCCCCTGGTGGCACCACTGGAATCTCCTTCATTTTATCCGCTTCTCTTTACTGTCTCAATGGACTTAACTATCAAATCAGAGTATTTAAAAGCCTTAGCTTTTACCTGATCCTGGAAAGGCCTCAACTGAAGAGCTGTGCATATTGTAAAAATGGGAATCAATCCCTCTTTATAGAAAACAATACGCTCCAAACAACTTGCTGTCTCCCTAAAGCTCAGTGTTATAGGAGAAAAATTTGGCAGTCTGCTTTCATAAAGATGTCCTGCCTTGGAGACCCTATGAGGCAGTTCTCCCTGGTCTACAGGATCACTAGGAATTACAATTGACTTAAAGGCCATGGGTTTGGATTGGTGCTTGGAAAAGCCTAGTGTGAGGCTGCGTCATCTGGAAAGTGGTACTTCAAATGAAAGTGTCTGACATTTGCACTGAAGTAGCCGATGGCCTGACACACAAAAAAACAAAGATCTTGGAGGCTGCCTCTATCTCAACATGACTAGGACAGGACTAAAGGCATTGTCCCCATTATCCTGTTGTCATCAAGTCGATTCCAAGTCACAGGCACCCTGTAGGACCAAGTAGAACTGTCCCAGAGGACTTCAAAGGCTATGATCTTTAAGGACGCAGACTGCTGGTGGGTTCAAACCACCAACCTTTTGGTTAGCAGCTGAGCGCTTAGCCACCATGCCACTAAGACTCCCATTACAGAAGAGCTACATCTTGATGAGTCAGTCATGGGAGGACGAGCTGTGACAGATTGGAAATAAATCCACTGTTAAGGAAGAGCAGCAAGAGATGCCAAACTCAGTTTTAGAAAAAACAATCCTGGATAATATGGAATGTATACACACATCCACCTTATACTTTAAAAAAACAACAACCATGCAATTGTGTATTCATTGCAGTTGCCTCAGATGGCCCACATTGGGAAGATATGATTTAATAGCAAAAACAGTATTTCCTAGATCTTTGATATTTGAATCCGAATTGCTCTTAAGTCAAAATAGTACTGCTAACATGTCACAATATGGATTAAATAAATGCAGCAGCTATACAAAATATTATTATCTGATTAGGTCAACCCATATATGACAGAACCCCTAAAGAACACCGCTTGCTACCGAGTGGTGCAGAGTATAAAGCAAGTTTTACACTTTCTGTTTACAGACTGCCTTGGGTTGCTTCCGTGCTATGACGACAGCTGAATACTTGCAGCAGAGACTGTGTGAAGCACGCAAACTGCAGCACCTCTACAATCTGGCCTTTTAGAGAAAAAGCTGATCAGCTCCTGGTCTAAAGGGGAAGCTGGGTAATTGAAGAAAACCCTTCTTTTCAGGTAGCTTTCTCTGTCACTGGAGGACCCAAAGAACAACATCATAAGTGCATGTAAACACTAAAAATATGACTCTTTCTAAACAAAGCAACAAAAACAAGGAAACCAACAAAACACCCCCAAACCCTCACATGCCTAGGGCTTACTCTTCAGACCTATCGCAAACCCCAGCTGTACCCTGAGAGGATACGCATTGAGTTTATCCTCCCATGGCAGGAATCACCTCTCTCGCTCTCTTCTCCTGTCGTTTTTGCTCCTCCTCTTCTCTCTCTTTTTTCTGCTGTTCTTCCCATTCTTCTTTTAACTTCCTCTTGAAAGGAAAGAAAGATCATTGTTTTCAGACTTACTTTTAACAAACATTTAACCCACTAGGCAAATAAATGAGACAAAAAAACCACACACAGTGATAAATGGACACGCTCAGGTTTTTAAGTTCAAGATATGTAACTCTTCTTTTCTACAACTTCTGTTGTGGTGAAACAGCTGCAGTAAAACATTCCCACCATTTTCATGTACAATTCAGTAGCCTGCTGCACAACAATCGCCTCTAAAACTGTCTCTACAGGCTCTCACTACCCTTAAGAGCAAAAACTCTGGACCTTTCAGCAACCCCATACCTTCATTTCCCCATCCCACCCGTGCCAGGTAACCAACCGGTTACTCATGTACTTTGCAGTCCAAATCGACCCTGCGGAGAAGTGCTTATCCTACAGCCCCACCAGGACCCCAGTGGTTACTCTTCCATATTTCTCCCTCTTCTCCTTATAAGCCCCCACTGTGCCTAGGTCCTTTGAGCCATTTGCTGTTTCTGGACTCAAAATGGCCTCCTGGCATGCATATAGACTAACTACTCAGAATAAACCTTATGTTCAAATTTCAGTGACTTTTAGGCATTTTTAACACACAGCGTGGAATTATTGGGTCATACAGTAGTTCTGTGTGGTGCTGTAGGATAGGCACTGGACCACAAAGTTGGTTTGAATTGCAAGGTCGGCAGTTCAAATTCACCAGCTGCTTCTTGGAACTGATTCAATGGCACTTAACAAACAAGTTAGTTCGGCACTTAATTTTTTGAGAACTGCAAAATTGTTTTTTATAATGGATGTACCATTTTACAGCGTCGTTTGTTCCAAACAATGTAGCGCTATCAGTTTCTCAGTAGGAAGACAGTACGCTGATAACAACCACCTTAGTAGGCCCAAAGCGGTATCTCATGGTGAGCATAGTGTACTTACAAAAATACATGCATGACTTGCTCCATCAAAATATCATCTTTGGCGAACTATCTAGTGACTGTTATTTTTAAAGTATGACTTATTTTTCATCGCAGTTTTCGATTTTCAGAACAACTGTGCAGAAAGTGTGGGGCGTTCCCCGAGACCCCTCTCCCCCTGCACACTGCTTCCCTAGTACTGGCGCCTGGAACTCCTATGGGAATGTCTCCCTATTGAGAAACCAATAGTGCGACACTATTAGGAACAACTAGTTCCTAACAGCTAATCGCTGGAAAGACGGCTCTGACGTGGGGCCTTTGCCCATTCTTCAGTTGGGGTGTTTGTCTTCTTGTTACTGAGCAGGATATGTAATTCATAATGACAAGAACGTCATTCTGAATTCAATTATTTTGGTTAACTAAAAAATGGAGTTTCATGGTTAATTAATGTGATGAATCCGGTACCTCTAATTCTTCCTGCCGTTTTCTAGCTGCCTCTTCCTTTTGTTTCTTGATCCAGAATTCTTCCTGTGCCTTTTGCTCTCTCAGCAACCACTCCTCATGTAGTTTTTGCCTATCAACATAATGACATGGTCAGGGAATCCAAATCTACAAATACATGATAGCAAAGAGACAATGATTAAAATATTCTGAGAGATTTTTCCAAAATATAGGTTAGTGTGAAGTGCCATTGAGTTAGTTCTGACTTACTGCAACCCTGAATAGGGTTTCTGAGGAGCTGCTAGGTGGACTTGAACTGCTGACCCTCTGACTAGCAGTCTAGTGCTTATCCTACAGTGCCACACCAGGACTACATATTTCAGGTAAGTGGGAGTAAAAAGATGAGAGGACAGAAGGCAGATCTGAAAAAAACTCACACACCTTAGCAACTGTCTTCCCTGTGAGTAAGAGCTTGGAATCACCACATCCATATTCCGTATGCACATAAAAGGGAGCTTCAAAAAGTTTGTGGAAAAATTCCATTTTTATCTTTAATTTCATATTTCCCTTTAAAGCCCCCTCATATGTCTGGGACATCTTTCACGTTAAAAAAAAAAAAAAAAAAAAAGTAGCACCGTGGTCAAAGTAAGGAGTCCTGGTGTGGTGCTGTGGGTTCCTGCGCTGGACTGCAAAGCCAACCTGAACCGTAAGGTCGGCGCTTCAGGCTCACTGCCACTCCTCAGAAACCCTATACAAGGTCGCTATCGAGTCAGAAGTGACTTGACAGCTCTAACAGCAACGATCATACTAATGTTTAGGTATCAATGAAGTGTATGCTATTGCTTTCGTTATGTGCTGTTGAGTCGGTTCCAACTCATAGCCACCCTGTGTAGGGTTTCCAAGGAGCAGCTGGTGGATTTGAACTGCCAACCTTGTGGTTAGCAGTTCAGTGCCGATCCTAAAGTGCCACACCAGGACCTCAATAAAGCGTATTGACAAGTCTCAAAGCAGCAAGCAGTTTTTCACATTCACAGAACATTGCTTACTCTTCCGCTTCTGTGCCCTTGGCAGGCAGGGATCCCACCATGGGAACCTGGCCTCTTCCACCTGCAGCCTTCAGGCCACTACCGCTCGTGTCTCAGATATCCCTGTGACTCACCCTGGACTTCCTGGGTGGTACAAATAGTTCATGCAGGTGGCTGCTAGCCAAAAAGTTTGGAGGTTCAAGTCTACCCAGAGGTACCTTGGAAGAAAGGTCTGGTGATCTACTTCCGAATACCTGCCATTAAAAACCCTGTGGAACACACGCAGTTCTACCCTGACACACATGCGGGCACCAGGAATCAGAACCAACTCAACAGTAAGTGGTGGGTGGGTGGGTTGTTTGCCCCAAAGAAGGAAAAGAAAATGACATTGTTATTACATATTTTAAAAGAAAGAATACTGCAGCCTTTAAGAAAAGATAAAACGTTATAAAAATAAATTACCAGGTGCCCTTTTTTCTTTTTTTTAAAGGATGACCACTTATAAAGAGTAATGTTTATAACTGGTCATTATTTAAAAAAAAAAAGTGGAGCACTGGTGACACAATAGTTAAGCTCTTGCTTGCTTGGCTGCTAACCAAACAATTAGGGGTTCAAACACACCCAGTTGGTTCCATGTAATGAAATGCTTCTGTAAAGATTGTTGTTGTTGTTAAGTGCTGTCAAGTCGGTTCCAACCCATAGCGACCCTCTAGAAGGTTTCCAAGGAGCAACTGGTGAGCTTGAACTATCAATCTTGAAGCTCAAACCGACTGTGCATTCTAGCGCATTAACCCACAGTGCCACACCAGGACTCCCTCTGTAAACATTACAGCCTAGAAAGCCCTATGGGGCTCTGTCACATGGGATCGCTGAGTTAGAACTGATAAGTCTCCAACAACAGTGTTACTAAAACGGCAAGTGTTTCAGACGTTCACTGAAAAAGTTTCTAACTTAAATATGGGTTATATTCCAAAAGTTTATAAGCCAATCAGGTGTTCAGAACTTAAGACTACATTTTCTCATTGAATTTATAAAAAGGAAAATGAAATAACACATATGAGAAATTGTTCTAAATTACTTTAGCATCACTAGGAATTAACTAGGGCTTTCCATCTAGTCTGGGGGCCGAACCAGAGTGGGAAAAGTCCATTCAGCTCCAGATTCCAGAACTGCAGCTTCTAGCCACACTGGAGCCACTGCCTGACAGATAGATGAGTCCTTTGAGGAGTACATCAACTGTACCCCAACTGAACCTAACTGGTGTGTACATTAAGATCACAGAATAGAAAACTTTACAGTTGAGTAGCTTGAATGAATATCCTATACATCTGCTTTAAAATAACATATGAAGTTATACAGAATATTCACATAATTAATTGTCCTGTTTCTCAACAGTAACTAAATAGGCAACTAGCATATGAATCCTGTCATGCATGGCGTTGTGGGTTAATGCGCTGGTCTGCAAGGTCGGTTTAAACCGCAAGGTTCAGGCTCACCAGCCGCTCCTCAGAATCCCTACACAGGGGGTCACTATGGGTCAGAAGTGATTTGATAGCACTTAACAACAACAACAATATATGAATAAACAAAGATGAAAGGAAGACAAAGATCCATGAATGATGGTTTTTAAAAAAGCTTTCCAAATAGAAGGGGATGTCAAATACTGTTATCTTTCTATTTTCTATCACATCTATCATCTTTATCCTGATGGAAATCTACAGTAGCATAACCTCCTACTGTCATCATTCATAAAGCACCATAATTCTAGAAGGCAGGAACTGAAGACGGGAGACAGCACTAGTAAGGAGCGGAGTCAGGAACGGGAACTCTAGGCTCGCTGGAGGCAGCGCTACTACCACAGTTAGAAATCGAAACCAAAACACCACCACAGAAAAACAATCTTTTCATCACCTTGGGATGGGAGAGGCATTAAGTCAGACACCAAGGCCTGATATTATAACGCAAGTTGTTAAGTGTCAATGATTTGGTTCTGACTCATGGTGATGGTGGTGGTTATGTGCCTTGGAGTCAGTCAGTTCCGACTCATAGCAACCCTGTACAGGGTTTCCGAGGTTGTAAATCTTTATGGGAGCAGAAAGTCTCATCTTTTCCCCACAGAACACCTGGTAGTTTTGAACTGCTGACCTTGAGGTTAGCAGCCCGATTTGTAACCACTACAGTGTTGTTGTTGTTGTTAAGTGCCGTCGAGTCGATTCCAACCCATAGTGACCCTGTACAGGGTTTCCAAGGAGCAGCTGGTGAGCTTGAACCACCACCCTTGCAGTTTAAACGGCTTTGCAGTGTGATGCATTAGCCCACAGCGTCACACCAGGACTCCATAACCACTACAGTGGCCATGGATAAATGATGACCCCCCCCTAGCAATTTCATTTCCAGGCCTTTTCCTAAGGCAACAATAGGGCAATTTCCCACTTTTTACACTGCCTGAGTTTGTGTTTCAGGTAAAAACATTCATAAATTAACAGTACTTGGGTTTAAAACAAAACAAAACAAAAAACCCAATTACTGTCTGTCAGCTAGAAATAGAAAGTTTACACAATGGGGCTTCAGAAAGTTGGTGGAAAATTCAACTACCTTACAAATCCATTCTTCCATGAACTCTCTGAAGCCGCCTCCTGTGGTTGTGAAGTGTTGCCAAGTCGGTTCCGACCCATAGTGACTCTGTATAGGATTTCTGAGGAGCAGCTTGTGGGTTGAACTGCCAACCTCATGGTTTACAGTCCAGCACTGATCCTACAACACCCTACCATGTGTCCAAAGCCTCCCCCTACAAAGTATTTTATAAGCTCTAGCTTTTACAGTGAAACCCGTGGCAGCTCGAGTTCACTGGGACTGCCTTGTTTTTCTGGATCGCCAACATTTTCTCCCTACCGTCCTCCATCCGTGGGACATATTGGAGTTTTCATTCTTGAACAGGTTTTTGTCTTTTACAGGTTCTGGCCTTTGCAGGTGTCACTGTGCACAGGTGGAAAAATGACACCTGTACAAGCAGAGCCTTAAAGGCATGGACTTCACGGGCTGAAATCAGTGCTGACCTCTCTATCTCCAACAGCTTCTCTTCCTCTAGCTGGCATGCTTCAATAAAAGCCTCCTCTTCCTCTTCCGCTTCCTTTGGAGCGAGTCCTGGTGGAATTAAAACGAGTTATTATACTATCTGCATCGAAAAAGAAACCCAGAAAACAACTTTACAACATGGTGTGAACCTGCTTTTAAAACTTTCTAATAAGGACTCCAAACAGCCAAATTTGGAACAATCTGCGCATCAAAAAGAACAGTAATGTAGTGGTGAGCACATTACACTAAACAAATCAACCCATGGCTCCATAATGATACTCAACAAGGTGGTGGGGGTGTGGAAGGGAACAGAAGGCTAGCAAATAAATAAATAAATAAGAAAATACCCTCACTGTAGAAATGAATTCAGACAAAGATGCCGAGAATATTACATGAAACCTTGTTGGCAAGAGAATATTAATTTCCATCTCCAAATCCTTTTGAATGAGGTAATTTGGTGGCAAGAAGCACACCTAGCCTCACTCACAGTGGAGGAATCTGACATTAGTTAGAATCCTAAGAAGCTAATCATGAAAACACAATCAGATAAATCCAGAATATGGAACATTCTACAAGACCAGGGCTTGGAATTTTAACCGAATCCATGCTGACTGAGGGAAGTTTTAATATGGCTGATAAGTTACACACTTATATTAGAGTTCCTTTAGTTAGGAGCAAGTCTGATCCTGTGGTTCTGTAGAAGAATGTCCTTATTCTTAGCATAGGAAAACTGAAGTATTTAAGGGTGACATTCATGGTATCTGCAACAGACTTGCAAATGGTTTAAAAAAAAAAAAAAAAAAAGCATGGGTGGGTCTACCTAGCAATGCAACCAGAAAGTAAGGCAAAACTGGCAAGGCTTGTTTTCAAGGATGTCTTATTGTGTTACTGTCTCAATCTTCTGTACCTGGCAACATTCACAAAATAAAATAATGGGAAAATTATTTTTAGTACAATAAAAATTTATATCTTTTCCAATTCAAAATATAAATTTGAGAGAGTGGAAAAAGGCAAGGAAAGTGGAGGTGGGGGGCAGTCGGAAGCACCCTTAAGGAAGTAAAACAGAAGCTCTCAGGTTTCTACGGAAAACATTTTGTGCGTCTCATATATAACAGAGCCCTGATGTGCGCTGTAGGATAAGTACTGGACTGCAAACTGCAAGACTGGCAGTTCAAACCCACCAGCCGCTTTCGCTATGAGTCAGCACTGACTCGACAAACAACAACATAAACATTGAGTACAGGTGTAACCAAAGGCTTACACAGTCTTAGATAATTAAAATAACTGACTGCCCTTGTTGTTGCTGTGAAGTGCTGTCCAGTCGATTCCGACTCATAGCGACCCTGTATAGGGTTTCCGAGGAGCAGCTGGTGTGCTTGAACCGCCGACCTTGCACTTCAAACGGCTGTGCAGTCTGGCGCATTAACCCACAGCGCCACACCAGGAGTCCTTACTGTTGTTCTAAAGCCACCTGAAATTAAAGTAGGCAACAACAAAAACAACAACAAAAGAGGCCAAGCCCTCACGCACACAACAATCTAGAGAATTCAATGAACCCGGCACAGAGGAGTGCTTGTAGACTAAGGTCCCTGGTGGTGCAAATGCTGTGCTCAACTACTGACCAAAAAGTTGGAGGTTCAAACCCACCCAGCAGCTCTGTGGGAGGAAGACCTGGTGACCTGCTCTTGTTACAACTACAGCCCAGGAGTCAGAGTCAAAGAGATGGCAAGGAGTTTGGTTTTTTGGTTGTTGCCTGGACATAGCCGATACCCCAACATATTTGTTGACTGACTCACTAAGCCCTCACCCAACCCCAAATCAAGCTCACATACCCTCAACAAGAGGCGAAGAGTTCTGAGGGTATCATTTTCTTTACGTATCTAAGTAAAGGTGTACAATGACACATACATGTATAATGTATCTAATTATACCATACATGAATTATGCAATCATTTTTATACTGTTGTTATTAGGTGTCATCCAATCTATGTTTGACTCAAAGGGACCCCAAGTGACAAAGCAGAACTACTTCATTATTATTTGATTTGGTTGTTGTTGAGAACATACACAGCAAAGCATATAGCAAGTCCACAGTTTCTACTGCTGATGCTGTGTATGCTGCCGCATCGTTTCTGGCTAATAATGACTCTCTATACAGTTTCTGAGGCTGGAAATCTTTGTGGGAGCAGAGCGCCTCATCTTTCTCCCATGGAGCGCCTGGTGGATTTGAACTGCTGACCTTACGGTTAGCACTGCAACGTGTAACCCACTAGACCTCCAGTTTCTACATGTAACCATTTAATGACACTGATTGCATTCTTCAAGTTGTGTAACTACTCTCGCCCTCCTCTTCTGACTTGTTCCTCCCTCATTAACATGAACTCACTGCCCACTAAGCTTCTCACCTAGTCTTTCAAGTTGTGGTGAATTTGGTCCCACACAATGCTCACAGCACACACCTTTTCTACTACTTAAGGTAAACTACTGTTTCGTTTTAAGCAGACTTTCAAGCGGATATTTTTGATTTAAGGTTTAAAGATAACCTCAGAGCAATAGTTTCAGGAGTTCATCCAACCTCCAGGAAGTCTTTAGTCCATGAGAATTTGCAATTCAGTTCAGCATTTTCCCTTTTTGATCAGGAGTCTTCTATAGAATCTTTGATTTAAATGTTCAGTAATAGAAGGCAGGCACCATCCAGTTCTTCTGGTCTCCCTTCTTCTCTTGCTCCAGGTGAATAGAGACCAACTGTGCCTTGCATGGCGGCTTACAAGTTTCTAAGTGCCTAGGCACTACGGAAGGTAGAACAGAGGCACTTAACATCACTGAGGCTAGGCTATAATCTTTACTGCAGCAAATCGCCAGGTCTTTCTCCTGCAGAGCTGTTGGGTGGATTCAAACTAGCAACCTTTTTATGGTTAGCGGCTGAGGACTTAGCAGCTGTGCTATCAGAACTATCCCCCCCCCCTTTTTTTTCAATGTTGTTGTTGTTATGTGCCGTGGAGTTGGTTCTGACTCATAGCGACCCTGTACAGGGTTTCCGAGGCTGCAAACCTTTATGGGAGCAGAAAGCCTCATCTTCCTCCTGCGGAACAGCTGGTAGTTTCAAACTGCTGACTCTGAGGTTAGCAGACCGATTCGTAACTACTATGCTATAGCACTTATTTGGAAACATATTGATAAAATGGGCTATGTCTTCATTGCAAAGCATCTCATTTTGAAAAGTCAAACAGCTCACCATGTTTCTCGTTTGTTGTTGTTGTGAAGTGCCTTTGAGTCGACTCTGACTCAGAGACCCTGTATAGGGATTCCAAGGAGCAGCTGGCGAGTTTAAGCAGCCAACCTTGTGGTTCAAATCAGCCTTAGGGTTTTATTCCTCAGCACCACACCAGGACAAGAATGGAGCTCAAGGTAGGTCTTCCAACATAAAGGGTAGCTGTCTAAATGATTTTAGGGTAGTGTAGTGGTTACAAATCGGGCTGTGAACCCTAAGGTCAGCAGTTTGAAACTACCAGCTGTTCCTCAGGAGAAAGATAAGGCTTTCTGCTCCCGTAAAGATTTATAGCCTCAGAAACCCTGTACAGGGTCACTATGGGTCGCACCCGACTTGACGGCACTTAACAACAACAACAATTAAGAATTATGGAGTCCTGGTGTGGCGCTGTGGGTTAATGCACCAGACTGCGGAGCAGTTTGAACTGCAACATCGGTGGTTCAAGCTCACCAGCTGCTCCTTGGAAACCCCACAAAGGGTCGATATGGGTCGGAACCGACTCAACGGCACTTAACAACAACCATAGGTGTGTCGTTGTAGGGGACTGCAAGGTTGATCTGAACCGCAAGGTGGCAGTTCAAAGCCACCAGCCAGTCCTCCTCGGACCTATATAGGGTTTCTGAGAAGTAGCTGGTGGCTATGAGTCAGAAACAACTCGAAAGCATCCAACAACAAAAACATTAAGAATTGTTAAGTGTAGCGGGTTACCCATTGGGCTGCTAACTGCAAGGTCGACAGTTTGAATCTACCAGTTGCTCAGCACTCCTTTTTTATACTTCATGTTCCCTTAGTTTGTGGACAAGGCAGCTCATTTCTGAGGAACTGGATCAGAACTGGGTGCCAAAGTGGCTACCAGTAATGGAAAGATCTATGATCCAGCAATTTCTACCAATCATTTGAGAATGCACTCTTATGCTTTCAATATGCTAGCCTTCTGGGTAATGTTTGCTCATTCAAGTGTGCTACACTGAAAGAACGACATTATCCCTTAGTCCACAGAATTCATGAAACACCACTAAGAATCGTGTGCCCGAATGGGTAAAACAAGGAGCCAGGATCCAAAGAGAGATGCTTAGTGTTGTCTCTGCCAGTAGCTACGTCATCTTGAGTAGACCAGTAACCTGTTTCCTGGAACTGATTAAAGCTGCCAGAGTAGATGATCCCCTGACTCTCCACCATGGCTCACTCTGAATGCAATTTGCCAGGACAAAAGTCCAAACAGGCACGATGGAAAGACTAGCATCCATAAAATCTAAAGCAGGGAGAGAAAAAATGTGAGACTTTTTCTTCTTCTTAAGGTTACCCCAAAGCAAGTTAATACTTCACAATGTACCATGAAAATGAACTTCCAAGCAGAACAAGCAAACATAAAAACTAAGAAGAAACCAACAAGAAATAGCACAAAAAACACAAACCCAACAGCATGCAGAACAAAAGAATGAACAGCATTACCAAAAAAGGAACATGATGGCAGCAATTAATTCATATCTATCGATAATTACACTGAATGTCAATAGATTGAATGCACCAGTGAAGAGACAGAGAATAGCAGAATGGACAAGAAAACAAGACCCTTCAATATGCTGCCGGCAAGAGACACACCTTACACACAAAGACAAAAACAGACTAAAAATTAAAGGATGGAAAAATATATACACCAAGCAAACTGCAAGAACAAACAAGCAGGAGAGGCAATACTAATCTCCTACAAAGTAAACTTTACAATAAAAACCAGAATAAGAGACAAAGATGGACACTATTTCATGATCAAAGGGTCAACTGAGTAAGACGACATAAC